AAATTAAAAATACATTGTAAGTTCATGCATTTTGTGATTTGTGTGTTTGTGATGAATCATTTGTAACCAGATACGCTGCAATTATAAAAAACATGTTGGTAAATAGATAGTTTAGGTTCAACGAAGGTGTAACATATTTAATGTGATATAGACAACTAATTTTGATTTATTTAAATCGATGTAATATTTATTGGTATTTATTAGAATAAGGAAAAAATTGATTGCACCTAAATTATTAACATTTAATGCAATAATTAATATATATAGGTATCTTATTATGAATTTTAAATATTGAACGATTTAAATGAGTGTTAGTAAATATATATATTATACAAAAAGGGAGATTTATCAAGCATGCTCTTCACCATGATTTTATTTCTTAATCGATTTATTCAAATTCTGATTTTTAAAACCTTTAAATATGTATACTCAAGTGAACACTTAATTTTTTAATTCTTAAAATTTTCCTATTAATTATAAACTTTTATTTTTAAATGAGAAATCCTTTTTTTTCTGTAAAATATTTTGTACATATTTTTTTTATGTTTAATTTAAGTTTGCATTTCTACAACATACTAGTGTTCAAAAATTTCAAGAATTTAATGAATTTAATAATATGGTCTATAATCTATAAGTTCATTTACAAATTTTATCATCAGATTTTGAAAAACTGCGTTATTGAAGAAAGAAAAAAAGGGATAAATTACCCTGTTTAGTGAGATTTAATATTATGATTATGACTTACAGTACTCCGTAGCCTCTACTCACCATTGTTTAAGATCATCCATTGTCTTTATGAATAACATATAAGGTGTATACTGATATATGTACGACAGTTGCGACCAGACGTTTATTATTAATTTATTCGTCAGCTGAAGCTTGAAACCATATAGGTCATCGTGATTGTCACTCATCGCGATAATTCAGAAGCATATCACGTCGACTGATCGATCATTATTATATGTTATATAATGTATAAACATTAATCGATTAGAGTAACTTCTACCTGTGGACTTCGCGAGAACTTCTGAATTCAAGCAAAGCGATATCGTCGTTGTACACGGGAGGCTATTATTTATTTATTTGTAATAATATTCTTAAAATCCTACGCTTATTTCGAGATATGTTCTAGATTATGCTGTAAACGTTTATATGGGCGTATTTGATGGTTTAACTTTGAAATTACTTCGAAAGAAAAAATGTTACACGATTGAAATGTGTATAATATCATAACACATCAATTCTAGGTATATGTGTGATTTCTGTAAGTAAATATTTTACTCGAGGTAAATAATGTATATTGTAACAAAACTCAGTGTTTGATTTCATTTGTTGGCGTCACTCGTACGTACAAATACATTTTTCGGCAGAACTTTTATAACTAGAATACAACTCTGTATAGGAAGATCAAATGGTAGAAAAACATGTTTTAGTCTAGGAATATGTATTTTTTTAAATAGGTCATATCGACGTACCTATATACTAACTAGTTTTCCAGTTAATTTTTTTCGGGGACAACAATGATGCTCAACAAGTTTTATTCTCACCCCACACATGAATCGAGAATCAAAAGTATACATTGTATATACTTTTGATGAGTTTGCTAATGATAAAATGCAGTGTATGTTACACTTGTAACGACTGTGCATGCAGTTCACAGGAATAAAAATCTGAAAATTTCGAATTTTTCTACTACTTGAAAAACAGAATTAATTATAATTCTCGTATTAGCTATTTTCTGATTCCATAGACTTGGATTAAAGAGACTAACCTAACGGGCATACGTAAACGGGGTTTTATCGATTCCGCCGTTTTAATATAAATTCCGCCGGCTATCGATTCCGCCTGATATTTGTATATATTGATTCCGCCGACTATCGACTCCACCAAACTTTTTTACATATCAATTCCGCCGACTATCGACTCCACCGAACTTTTTTACATTTATTATCGTCAACATCAAAAAATATAATACAAGTATACACACACACATATATATATAATATATAGATAGATATGATATTATGAAAAAAAAAACAATTAAATACAATATAAGTTGACTTATTTTTTAAAATAGTTTCTTATCGTCAACATTGAAAAAATATAATACAAGTACCTATACAATATACATACATTTATATAAATATAATATTATGGAAAAAACTAATAATTACAATACGAGTATAAGTTATATTTTTTTAGGCAAAGTTGGACAGTTTAAAATTAATGTAATGTTCTACCTACTTCAGTATTATAGTTTTATTACAATTGAACTGCAAATTACTTGTATTTCTTATAGTATCAATTTACTTACAAATTACAATATACATGTAATAAAATATTAAAATAAATGTAAATGTAAGTATTTTAAATTTACAAATTTACAAATATTCAGCGGATTGGTAGCCGATAGTCAGCGGAATCGATGTAAAAAAGTTTGGCAGAGTCGTAGTCGGCGGTATCAATATGTGAAAAAGTTCGGCGGAATCAATAGATTTCTTACAGGTAAAAAGGTCGTTTCGGCGCAATCGATATACGCCCGCGTAAACTGCACCTAAATGACCTTTTTTTTGTAAACTGCGCACAAAATGTTATCTATGTTAAAAAGGTATAATGTAAACTGCATCCGATAACTTAAGCTGTGCCCCGTTTGTAAAATATACAAAACTTTTGACTTATTAAAGTCTCTATAATTGTGCACTTTTTCAATTATACCACAAAAATTTCAATTTTATCTAGAAATACCAACACGTTATAAAATAACTATTGCATTTAAAAAAAAAAAAAAAAAAAAAACGTGTAAAGTTACAAGATTTAATTAACAAATATAATAGTGGTCAAACTCTAATTGATGAATAAATATGTAACAACAATACATTATTATTTGTAATATTTGTTATTATTTTACTTTTTAAAATAATTTTTTTTTATTAATCCTTAATTTAATTTTAATTTTAATTATTCATATATATGGTTGAAATAAATTAAGTATATATCAAAACTAATTTTGCAAAAATATATCTATTGATTTTTTAAATTTTACTCAGGCGCAGTTTACATATTGTGTGATTTTATCTGTATTACAATCGCCGGACCTAACCTATCCTGAAATAACTATCTTATTTGCAGGACTCAGCATAGGTTTTTTAATATTTCGCCATATCAACTTGTAATATGGAATTGATTTTGATTTATGTTTTAATTCAGAAATGTTCACTAAAATGTATATTTGTGTTGTCTATACATAATATAATTTTCAAAATATTTACAACGATTTTAAACTATTTATTTAAGTTTTAAAAGTCGGTCTACGATACATTGGTATTGATTCATAAAGTAATATTTGATGTATTTTTCAAAAATCAGTTCAATCGTTATTGAAAATATTACATTAAATATGTAAAAATTTATAAAATAGTAAAATACTTTTAATAATAGAAGTATAATATAACATAAACTATCTTAAGAAATATATCTTGATCCACACGTCTCATTCGCTCAAATTGGTTTTCTTGTTCAATGATTTATCAGTAAACTCAAATCTAATACATTTAGTGATTTATAAGTCATAAGTCATAACAGTGATCTGCTCAATGACTATACAGCCAAACACGTTCTACATAATACATATGATATTATATCGATGATGCATATTTCATCTTTTGTTCTTTTGTAAGTGGACGTTTTAAAGTTTTTTAGCACATAAAATCTCAAGATTTGTCTGTATGCATAATATATTATTATTATATTAATAATCTTTTTTTCAATAAGTTTGTAGCAACTCTACAATACAACAATCGTTCGACCGATATTCTGCACAAAATATGATTTCGGGAATAGTACAGTTGAGTTCGTTTTTTGATCACCTCAAAAATAAAAGTACTTGATAGAGAGATAGGTTAAGCTTAAGTTTCAATAAGAACTTGATTCGTACTAAAAAAAAAAAAAAAAAAAAATAGTAGTACGCGTTCTTGCCGTAAACGTATTAATTATTATTGGTAGTCCTATAATATAAAACGGGTAGGTGTATCATGTATACTGTAAACTGTATACTGAATAGTGTATTGTAATTTATAGACTTTAGGTACCTACCTACTACAGTTGTGTGTTATAATACGAGCAAAGAAACTATGATGAAGTCATATTAATTCAATATTATTATTACTATTATTTATAATGATTACAAAATAGTAAACGACGAGACAAATGTTGCGCTCTGCGTATGCCTATTTGTAATAAATATATACAGGATGATTTTTTAAACAAACAACATTCATTATTTCAAAATCTATTAAAATTTTTAAAAATATTATCCTCATATAATTTACAGTTGAAATAAAACAACATTTTAACGAAATTGTGTATTTAATGTTTTTATTATTATTAATTTTTTTAAGATTTCTACTTTTTTAAACGACAACACACGTACATAATATATTATTTTGAAGCAGAATATTATTTTGAGTATTTCGATACATAGTACTATTGTTTATAAATTATAACTTATAAGTACCTATTTAAAGTTTCTTTTGACGCCTTGACGGAGTGGAGTGGTACGGTAATATTTCAAAAAATACTACGCTGCTCATCTCATCTACAATTTATTGTGTAAGAAAAATATTTTCGAAAACGTTAATAGATTTTGAAATAATGAGTGTTCGAAGATGAAAAATAATCACCCTGTATATATGTATATACATATTTGTCATAGGGAAAACTCGAGTAGATAATAATATGATGATTTGTGATCGTAGTTTTTTCTCGGATCGAAAAAAATTACGCGGAATCATAACATACCGCGTGTGCGTTGTACACACGTTACGATGTTGTATCAATCAGGAAAACGGATGGAACAATTAATCAATATCGCTCGCCAATATCACCAGTGGTAGGGCACAGCTCCGAGGACGTCGGCTCCAGACTTATGGCCGTTTCGAAAAACCAACGCGTATAAAAGATGTGCGCAAACCACCGGCACGATCGAGTTCGAGTTCCACGGGGTTTCCGATCGATCATCGTTATACACATAACGGACGCAGAGTGCCATCATATTATAATACACGTGTCGAACGATATTACTTTTAAAAAATAACGACAATCCATACACGATGGACATGATGCGTCTCTCGTCTGCCGTAAGTTTGTATATATATATATTATGTATGTGTTTAATATGTTATATATTTTCGAAGAATTCGCCTAGATATTATATATAGTGTATCGTGTATGTCAGCGTTAAATCCAAGTACTTAAGTCACGAGGCAATCCTTTTAGCTTTTTGAGATTTTAGGTCGATTTTCACGACTTTTAAAAAAATAACATTATTAAGTCTTATTTACCACAACGGTTTTAGATATGAACGTTTGGTTTATTTTTCGTTGTGGTGATATTTTTATAATTTTTACGATTAAAACAGAAAAGCAGTATTCTTCTCAGTGTTGTTGCTGTATAAATGTCCGTTGTTGAACAAATTGTTTTTTGTAGTAAACTTAAAATGATCACTATGATTAGGTGTATGATGTTAGACCAGTCAAGTATAAATATTGTGTCAAGGGCACCATTTAAAAGATGATGTACTACACTAGCTACTCCACTAATTTAAACTAAATAACGTATTATTAAAAAAACTATTTGTTCAATACAACCATAGCTCGTAAACATAAACATAATTTTAAACAATGTGTTCTGTTCCCTATTAAAGATAAAAAATTCATAGTAAAAATTTAAGAATTAAAAAATCTTTATTAAAAAATTAGACTTTTCATAAATATTATAGGTATAAATGTATAAGTGTTATTTAATCTATTATTCTAACTGTATAAAAACATTTTTCAAAATCATGAAGATTAACCTAAAGTTTATAACCAATAGAATCTAATAGTAATCTAATCTATGTGCATTCTATAAGAGTTTATGGCCCTTCATTTACTTTTATAACGTCAGTCGTTCGGATGAAATTTCGATAAATAGAAATAACAATTTTTCTTTAAATAACTATACAATATTTATTTACATTTTTACTAAATAGATCATAGTGTTGATGATCGTGGTTGCAGCAGCATCCGCCGGTATTTATCCGGCGACGATGGGCAGCAAAGGTGCCGCTGTGGGGCGCACTAAATCTGGCAACAGTCGTGACACTTCAGGGGATAGTTTTCATATACAATCTCCCGATGGACAATATGTATTTGGACATACCAATGGAGAGCAGGTGAGAAAATAAAATTATATTATATTATTATAGTAAAATTAAGTATCTACTTAGAGATTGGTATAATAAGATAATTAAGCGCACAAAAAACTTAATCTTTATATAACTTATAAGTAAATATACGTGAATAAGTTTAAAAAATGTTATCATCAGTACAAAACACAACATTTTGATGAAAATACGATCTTTTTTTCAAATAAAAGTAAATTGTGGTAGATTATTTAGTTATATTAATATATCATAATTTTTTTCTAGAGTATTTTACAATACCTACTTTAATTTTAATACCACCTATACTTAAAACTGTCATATCTACTAATTTGAACATATTATGTTATTAGTATAAATTTAATATGAGCTGTTTTTTACGATATAGCTTGTTTTACCGACGTAAACATAATATGATATACTGGAACTTTTTCTGATAGAAAATTAATTTAATACTATGCTAATTAGCTAATTGTTTACTAATTTATTAACTTTCGACTAACACAAAATATGAATTTATTTAAAAAAAATATTAATTAACTTTTTAAAATAGAAAAATAATGTCTGAATGTCTAAATATGATCTTTACTTATTAAGTTGTGTTTGCATTGTTAAATAAATTCATATATTTTTCACAGTTTTTGCTGTAATTATCTTATATTATTTGATTATTTAATAGTCACAATTCCCAATAGAACAGTAAAACAGTACACATAGAAATAACAATTTAAACAGTTTTTTTCATTAATTTTTACTTATTACTTCTCTTCGGTCTTCATAGCTAATTATACGAGATCAGTCACTATTGTCCTATATTTTAATACTCCAGTGGATACAATACATATAATATACATTTTAATCATTGCATAAGTATTTTCGACTTTAGGTGCAAGTTAACTACGTTATTAGAACATAAAAACCACTCCTGAACATCCCACTGGTTTTCATTAATAATTTTATAACACGACTTAATAGTTAATACTAGTCTGTTCTTTTCGACTGTGTGACGTTTTACTTATTTTTTTTACGTGATGAACACAAATACATACTTGCGTGTTACCACGGTGTAATTAAAACATGTGCCAATCAAGCTACGAGTACATATATTAATTTCCCTCGGTTACAGTAGTGCTGAGGGATGAGATTTTTGACGGCCCTCGGTTGAGATTATTATTTGACAACGGTGAATGGATTTTAATAACGTTCACAGGGCAGAGCTGAGATGCGCGACAGCGACGGCACGGTGACCGGATATTACAGTTACGCGGACGGCAATGGTCGAGTGGTTCGTGTCGATTACGTGGCGGACAAAGGTGGTTACAGAGTATTGTCAAACGCCGGCGTGCCGTCCGCTTCGGTGACTGTAGAGGCAGATGGCGGTGGTGCCCCCGCTGCAGTGACCGACTACCGGAAGATGTACTCGGACTTAACACGCCGCATCAAAGTAAGTTCACATGTTGACTAGAATTTAGAAACCGCAAGATCGATGGGTACGCACAAAGGCCTAAAGCGCACTGCAACTATACGTGTAGAAATCGATAAAAATATAAAAACGTATCTTTTACGGAAGGATACGGTATGGTTTGATAGCGTTTTGTTTGTCTCACATATTAACTTTTTTTTTACCTTTTCAGAGCACAGTCGTGCAACGAGGTCAAAAAGTAGTGGATCCCATCGACGGAGGCCAACGGCCGGTCGTCGTGGACCCGATCCCGTACCCCACTGAAGAGGTGAGTGTGTGTTTTAAAAAAAATTATAAAACCCGCGCGCCAAAGTGTATGACTTTTGGGGACGGGTGAAGCTCAGGACGATACAGGTCTCTTATGAGGGTTTTCTGCTCTTGCAAAACGATATGAGCGTGTAAAATATTCAGTTGTTTTTGAACGAGCTTAGGCGCCCCAGTCCCACCTCGTTTTTGTGCCTATGCAGCTATGCCGTGTGGTAAACAATTAGGTTGACGTGTCGAATGCTAGCATTATTATTGTACAATATAATATAATTTCATAATGTATTATACTTAAGCCTTCGATATAAACTTAAATCTTAATAATATCGTTTCAACAGTGACATAAATAATATTATCGTTACATTTGAATCATTAGCTGCACAAAAAAAACATCGTGCTTGTTTTATTTTGAATTGTTTATGGTTCAAATAATTTTTTGGCTGACATTGAAAGTATAAATCGTTATACTATGATAAATTGGCATTTTATATATCCATTGAAATATGCAAATCAATGATTATTTTTCTACTGACAGCGGTGCACACTCTATTATGTGACTTTCTTTCACTATTACGTCTATTAGTTAATGATTTGTTGATTATTTCTATAATGTATTCGGCGTATTGTACTGTGTAGAATGAAAGTTTAGGTGATTGAAAATGACAAATATAATAGTATTTATTTAAATATATTATGCATTATCACAGACAAAACATTCAAACCGCGAAGAAAAAATCAATTTTCCGGATTGGAATCAAGTGAAAATGTCTACTACCCAAAATTCTACGGTGAGTTAATAAAACGGCAATAAAATGTATTCTAAAGGAATCGTAATTAAACAAACGAAACCATAATGTACATTTGTTACCAATCAGGATGGAATTGAACACAACGAAGGACAACAACAGCAGCAAGAAACTATAGATCCTAATTGGGATAGTGTAAAGATAACAACTCAAAAATCAAATGTAAATATGAACATTGAACACGTATAATATAATATTACGTACATTAATTGTTACCATTTTAGTTACAATGATATAAATTATTTTTATGATTGAATATGCGTCAAATTTCAAAAGTAAGAATATTATTATAAAAAATACACGTTTCGATATTATAGTTATACGTTAATCAATATTTCTGTTTATTTTAAATTTATCTTAAAAATATATGCTTATTACTGTTGAGGTATTAAATAATTTAATTATATTTTAAATACATCTAGATATTAGAAAATGATAAAATAACGTATTTTCTAATACAACTAATTTACATTTTGTATAACTTAATTGTTTTATTGCAGTGTTAAATTATAAGAATGAATAACTTGTATGAAAATCTATATTATGTGTATACAAAAAAAAAACATTGTTATTCTATAGATAATTTATTGTTTAATTAGTATACTGCAGGAGGGGATTGGAGTTCAAATGATTCAGTAATTTAGTGTTTGTAATTATTCATGTATGCCAATGAGCTACGCATAATCTCGGATAATAATATATATAAAGCCATTGTCCTATGACAAACGAATCATTTTTATTTACTTAATAATAGCAAATTAATTTCAATTTCAATTTATTTTTAAACAGATTAAAATAAACGATAACGATGGTAAAGAATCTATTAATGATTTGAAAAATGAAATGATCACTACAGAAATGCCTTCAGTGACGTCGGTTCCGATTCAGCCTCAAGTAAAAACAATAATCTTATTTTTGTTTTTATCCTTTTTTTTTAAACATAATATGCATATTTTTGGTCTGGACAAAATATTTATTTTTTGATTTTTGAAGTTTTTCCAAAACCAAACATTAATAAAAAAGAAATTAATGTTATAATTTTTTTGATTAAACGTTATATTTTCTAGGTGTTTCCTAACAACTGACTATAATATAATAACATAATCATAGAAATGTCAATGATAATCTTTTTTTATCATAATTTTAAAAACAAATGTATAATTTTAAGTTTTTCTATATAGTAAAGAAAAAATCAAGTAGCAAGCAAGGGTTTTTTTTTTTTTTTATTAATTTTTTTCTCAGAAAAACTTCGGAAAATTTTTAAATATCATTTGTGATTACCATTAAGTATATCAATTTTTAATAATTTTAATTTTTTTAAATTTAATCTTTGTATACATTATACACAGTACCTACACAAAGTATATTAATAAATATACTAAGATTTTTATTGTCAATGAATATAATACAAATCTAATGAATATTATCGAAGACAGTTGTGTGGCTGTTAATGTTTTATTGCTAAACACCTTGATATTAAATCATTGGACAATACAGTTTATGAATAATAAATAATAATAACAGCATGAACGATTTATTAGATTTTAAATAGACATGATTTAATAGTACGATACCCTTGTCTAGGTTCCCTCGAGAGGAGATCATAAGGGAGGATATTCTGATACAGTATTCCACGAAGATAATGCCAAGGTAAGCCCGAAAATTATGTCAAATAAGTACTGTATAGTTTAAATATTACCTTACCTTTTTATAGTACATATTTTATACTTATCTGTATTTAATATTATACTTACGAGAAAATTTCACATAGTAATTTTGTCATTACTCATTATAGACGTAAACATGAAGCGTTTTATTCTTTAGATCTAAACATATTTTAAACACAGTGTTGTGTTAATTTTAAAATTATATGTCTTGTATTTGGTATAATATATGTTGTATGTCATAAGGAAATTAAAACTGAAATCAGCAACTCTAGGATCGGTGCAGAATCTACCGTAATCGATGACACACAAAATAATTCACCAGTTACAAAGCCCGTAATTATTATTTATTTTTTAATTTACTATTTGTATAATTTACTACTATAGAATATTTTTCTGATTCAGACATCGATTATAAACAGCGTTCAAACAACGGTATCGTATTACGACGGACCTGGACAAACCACTGAAAAAAGCGACGACTCACTATATGCCCAGGTATAAACATTGATTTAATAAAATAACTTCGTACTTTAATACAGGATGAATAAAAATAAAGCTTTGAGGTATGTGTTCCTACGAAATAGTTATAATTTATACGGTTGAAATTATTTATCTATATTAATCAATGGTTTGCTATATTTTATTAGATTATGAAATTATTAGTTAAGACTATTGAAACGAATCTTATAGTTACATTTTCACGATTTTAGACCACAATTTTTGGTGTAAGACAATTTGATGAATATTCAACTGCAGTGATTTCAGAAAGTGCGACAGAGCATTACCGTTCCATTAAAGAGAACGACGACAAAATTAAGGTGCCTATAACAAAATAAAATCCAAAGATTCGTCGGCAACATTGACAATAATATACCTAGTTCCAGGCAACGAAACTTATAATGTATTTCTTTGTATAGATTCCAAATGAAACGGATGTGCTAGTGACTGCCAAATCACTAAAAGAGGATAATGAATTGTTCGAAAATATACCGACTACAGTTGAACCAAGCCGTCAGACTAATGTCCAAGTATGTGTTATCCATTTATTACAAAGTCAATCGACTTAGTTATGTTCATAATTGAAACGCCTATAAAAAAGGACACAATAATTTTAATATTTTAAACTTTTAAAGAGCGTTTATAAATGTTTCTTAAACATTTGTTTTTTAATTAATGATTTCGGACTACCAAATCAACAAAAATAATGTGTGATCAAAACATTGAGTTTTATTTAAATAAGTTTTTCTGTCTCAAAAAAAAAAAAAAGAAAAGAAATTGGGTCTTTTTGTACTTACTCGTATAAGTGTTACAATTTTATTGTAAAAAAAAAAAAAAATAGACGATCATTTGAACTTAAATTTTTAGACTACCGGCATACCATCCAGTGTCGATTACACGACTATCGAAGCGGTTAACGGAAAACCTGAGTTAGTCAGTACGCTGCGGCCTTTGTACGAATCCGAGATAACTACATTACAGGTAAGTGCTAAATATACATTATTGATATCTAACAGACGGTTTAATATTGAATTAATTATACAACACATGTGTTGATAGACCGCAGGTAAGGTCGGTGACACAGAAACCGCAACTGTAATAGATGTAGCAGGTTTTCAGTTCGTAACTGAACCAAACAATAATAGCGAAGACCATCCTGAGTTTAGAGTAAGTAATTTAAATTGGTTTTTAAATCACTCGTTCCGCTGGCGTTCAGTAATGTTTTAACCGTTTTTTCTTTATAATGCAGACTTTAGAGCCTACAGAATCGATCGGTACTACCGTCAGACCCGATATTGAACATTCCCAAGTAAGTCGCATATTGTTTAATAAATAATAACAGTAAAGTGGCAATGTGTAGGATAACGCTTAAAATCTTGGTAAAAACTAATTGAAAACTATTTAAATATTTTTCTCACTGAGAATTGTCCATGGACACATTTTTCTAGTAAATACATCTTTAACAAAACAATTGTTCTGATTTTCCACAGCTTACTTTTATTTTGGGACCTAGATATAACAATTATTAAATCTAAGTATTTTTTAATTTTTAATGTTATCTTTTATGAAATCGTAACAATGTTTTTAAATAAAGAATTTTTATATCGTATATTTTGAGAATTTTAATTTTAAATATTACACTTCCCCTTCCCCTACTCTACATCATACTCAGTTATGCTTCTATAAATAGTCATTGAAAGTCTTATACTTTGATTTGACTAAAATTTAAGTTACGTTTTTTTTTTAATATGTATAGCAAGAACAAGAAGAGATAGTATGGCCAGAAATACCACAAGAGCCAGTGCCTCAAGTCTTGGTAAGCAACTAAAAAATAATAATAATATACAATGTAGATAATGATGACATTTATCCATTTATTTATATTAAGATGATTTAGATGAATTAATTTATCTATTATTTTTATCAATTACAGCTGCCTCTAGATCCGTATCCCGCCGAAGATCCGCGGCCGAAAAATGCTGGTATCAAGACCACTTGGCCAAACGATTCGAGACCGGTAAGGTAATCGATGGCAAGATTGTTATAACGAATTAAAAAACACTCGGGTTGTTGTTAGTTTTTTTTTTTTTTTTTTGCAGACCAGACATAACAAGCCGGATGAAATAAAATCAGCGGTCAACGTCTCAGAAACTGAAACGACGACTTTGACAAGTAACGACGAAGAAAACGGAGCTATGTTCAACTTTCCCAGATATTATCTCACCGGTTGACAATCTACTACGTCACATAAAATAAAATAATATAATATAATAATTAATTACAAGAATATTAGACTTGTTTTAAATGCTTAGCTATACATTAGTGTTCATAAGTATATGTTGATCATAATCAAAAATTGTATATAAATATATATCGAAATAGATAATTTAATATGATGGATGCTTAAATGTATTGAAACAGATTTATTCCCAAAAAATTATTATTCGATAACTCTAGTACATCGTTTTAAATTTTATAAAATATATTTTGATATTCTAAACTATTATAATACTTATAAAACAAATAAACGAAATGTATTCAATGACTTCTTAGTTATAACAACGTAATATTACTAATTTTTTATTAAACGTTAATTAAAAAAAAATATATCCTAATTATATTGTTGTAAAGAATTTAATCAGATAATTGCCAGGTGAAACGGAAAAGTCTGATTTATATTATGGTTTCACATTGACGGACGTTGTCAACAGGATACAAATGTGTTTTCGAAAAATACGAAACGAATGCATTTTCAAGAAATTAGACGTGTACATTATTAGACAAATCGGCATCACACGAAACCACTACACTCCTAGATATTGACATCTATCCACCTAATACACTTAAAATCAATTATAAATTATTGAAAATAATTATTAATAGGCGAAAAACTGCAGCACAGGTTAGAACGTGCAAACGGTTTCAAATAAAGGTAAAAAATCTAATAAGTTATTAGTTATTATATACTTATTTCCTTATTAGCAATTTAAGTTTGGTACGAACAACAGCGTATAATACTTTATATTATGTATTTAACGTGAATTGAAAAACACTTTCACTTTATTCTTTGGTCGTGTTGTCAGAAAAAATAAATGTATAATTGAGTTATCTCTATCTCTGTTTACTGTCACTTCATTTTTATATAAAAAAAAAAAATGATATTATGAATAAATTTTGAATTAAATACCTAATATTCTATAAATAGTTATGTTTTATTTATATAAATATAAGCCATCAGCATTTAGATAATTAGAATAAGATATCAAGCTTTTGTATATCCAAAATCTATTTATTCATACTTCGTGCAAAAACATTTTTCTTTAAAATTGTGAAAATTGACCATGAAAAATTTCGTAGTCAGTTATATTTTCTGATTTATTTCCGTTATTATGTTGAAAATGTCCAAAATCGAATTTTCTTCTGTGTTAATGCATAGCGGTATGTACTATGTATATCTACTCGTTAAAAATACATCTGTAACATATTTTAAATACTTGAATGAAAAAAATAAATTTTCATCTTAATAAATGATATTATTATATTGTCCAATAAGTATTAAAAATAAATATAAATAAATTTAAAATATTTATAATTACACTGAATGAGAGATGTCCAGGACTGTAATTCATATTATGGTAAGTTGTTTTCTAGTACCTATGTAAATATATTTTTTAAATCGAGGGCATACAAATCCTTACTTATATCACATAATTTAGAGTACATATTAACTTGGCCTTTTTTTTAGTATTTTGTACTTTGAAGTATAAAACCGCAACGAATAAGTAATTCAAATATATTTTTAATATTTGTACAACAATAAAATTATACATTTAGGTAGCTACATATTATGTGCATAATATCTTGTGCTAAATTGCTGTAAAGGGCTCGCCCGTTAATAAATAAATATAAATATAAATATATACCGAATACGATAATATATGGCCACGATATGTGTATAAGTATATTACTAAATTATACGCCGTCGCGTCGTTGAGGAAAATCAACGGCCGACAAAAGGATATCGTACTCGTTTTTTCAAAATATATACCTATGCCAACTTACATGTTATACGGGTATCTATAATATGTGTACTCGTACATTACGATAATAATATTATAATTATTGTTTGTCGGAAGTGCGACGGACTCGGAAGCGGCCGGTGTGTGTCGGTCACCTGGTGTCACGCGGGCACGGCGAAAAACAAAAGCGGCGGCGGCGTGTTCAGGTACCGCGACACCCGAGTGGTAGACGCGCGGGTAGAGAGAGACTTTGGAGTGAGTGAGTGGGTGAGAGAGTGACGGAGAAATGGGACGGAATCGCGTGCACATAGTATTATTATTATTATATTAGAGGGGCAAACGTGTATTCCCAACACAGTCCGATGAACATTGAACACTAACTTGTGTTTTTTACAGTCAACTCTTAGTGACGGGTGCGAACGGTCTGTTGTCGTGTGACTGTAGGCGAGTACCGTTGTCGCGTTGGTTCGTGTCCGTGTGTGGGAAAAACAAAAATTTGAATAAAAAAAAATTTCCGGACGAGTTTTGTTTTCGTATCTTTGCGTTTACAATAGTGTCCGTTGTGAATTTTACATTCGAACGACCAACGACCACGGAACGCAAATCGGAGAGGTTTAACTGTGGGATTAATGCACCGCGAACCACCGAAAGTTATCGTTTAGTGGACTTGACCCGAGATCATCAGGTCAGTGAATTTATTGCTATACTATATATAGGTACATTTACAGAAGAATATGAGCGTTTTACAATGGTACTAGCATTTGACGGCACTTTCTGTTTAACGAAATATAACATTTTAGAACCATATCTAAATTAAATACATATTTTTACAATTCTATTTAACGAGCTTCTTCACAGTACCTAGGATATAATTTTTTTTTCGCTCACAAAATTCATAACAAGGCAATTTCACTGTACTTACTCATAAACGGGTGAAGCCTACTTAAGTTTTTATTTTTCTTTTAACACATACTATATCGTATATATATTAAACGGTGCGCGACCAACACCGTTTTTAATGGCTGCATCGAAAAGTATAAAAAATTATATTTAACTAACCTCAAAATAGTTTGTAGGTATCTTTATCTATCAGGTATAACAATATTTAGTTTCATTTTTCTAATACCTTGTGTAATGGTATCCACCAAGTGTTTTAATATTGTATGAATAAAGTAACTAGAATACAGACACGTTGTTTAATATCTGCAGTAGTTGGGTTTATTGGCATCAATAAAACGTGTGTCGTGATTATATTGATGTTTTATTTTAACAAAATAATTCATGAGCCTTTACATTTTCATTGTTTTATGCATAATATTTTTGACTTAATTGAATTGGTTGTTAAAAAAGACCTTAAAAATTATTAGTTGACCAATACTATATAATATATATGTATGTACGAGATAACCTCTGAAACTAAAATGTACCTTAATCAAAGGAGTACTAAGACAATGAATTAAAAAGTTCCATTTTCTTTTTTCAACTTGGAAATACAACGAAGGTGAAATTTATATTTAATTTTAGCACTTTCGAGACGTATTCTCTACTTGCGTAGTTACTCACAGTATCATATTATGAGTTCACTATTCCACATTGTGCACCCAATATTTACATTCCCATAGAAAACTATGACGTGCTAATCTGGGCGGAAAACTGTAATAATAATCCTCTAGTTTAATATTGCTGCAGTGTTTACACTACTGCGACGAGCCAGCGACTACAACTAGATAGATGAGAGTAAGAGATTAATATTTGGTCGTTTGTATGTATTTCGGTTTTTAATGATCACCGGAGAAAATAAAATTTTAATTAATAAATTTAAAACTGAACCCCCAAAACCATAGTCCATAAACCATAAACGTTATAGTCGCGCGCATGAAGTATATAATGATGCTGTGGCGTACAAATGAAAGCACTAGAAAATAATTTATTTCATAACAAATAAATATTATTTATATGACAATATAATATACTATATATAGTAGAAAGTCTCTCGTGGCTGTTTAAACGCATAAAATATACACACAAAATATGACAAATATATTGAAATATACTACGCGATGACAACTGACGTACTACATATTATTTTCATACATAATAAAACGTAAACATAATATGTTATGCGAAAACGTTTCGAGTTTAAAAAAAAAAATCCATTTCAAGTGCACTTATCTCTAACGTGTGTTTAATACGTGTATTTTTTTTATTTTTAATTTGCTATTTAAAATATATTCAGTACATTAGGGAATACTTACTATAATATGTGATGTCGAATGAATGAAAATTTATCGTGAAAAATTAGTTCCAACTCAAATATTCACAATATATTTCTAAAACGAATAAAAATGACGACGGCGTTATGGCTATTATAGAGCTACTTTTATTTTATGATTTGGTGCTACGATTATTTTACACGTGTTAAATGTACACACATGGCGTATATTCTAATTTATTTTCTTTTATTATTATTTATACGATATAAATTATATTACATGTTTATTGTTGTTAAATTTGATTTTAAACGTAATTTTACTAAAAAAAAAAAAAAAAAACCATTGCCTGCTTGAAAATAACACGTCGACCGCCCTTCTGCAGGACAACACATAATATTGTTATTTATATTATACTATGTGTAACGCGTATTAATGTAGTAACTAGAATACAGACACGTTTTTTAATATTTATTGATTTAGTAGTAGAATTATTTATATTATACGGTAATCATGTTATTTTTTGTTCTAGATTTTTTAATAATATTCACAATTTATTATATTGAATAAGGTGAATAAAAATAGTAATTTAATAATTTTCGAACAGTAATTATCCTATTGTTATAGTATATAATCTGACATGTGGATTAAGAATGATTATTAAAATTCAACAGTATAACAAGCATAATGACAACAGTTTTAAAAAATTCTCTGTGATCTTTATTTGAGAATAGTTTATTTGTACCTCTAACACTAGACTAAATTATATTTCGTGCAAAAATAATATTCAAAAAAATAAAAATATGAAACGCATACGAATAACATTTTAGAAAAATGATGTATTATATTTCGATGGTTTATTAAAATTTATAAGACAAACTGAAAAAATAAACTTAGTCGAGCGTTATTTTGAGTTCAAATTTTAAGAAATATGTAATAATACAATATTCATTGAAAAGAAATACTTATTTGAATTGTTCATGTATCGTATAATAATAGAAATGTCATCACGATATAAATGAAAACGTGTTAAGGGCTATGTATAATTTTAATATACGTATATTTTTCATATGAAAACGGTATCATTGTGTCAACTTTATATTATAATATTGAAATATATGAATATACCATCGGCGGGTATATTATAGTATTATATTACATTGGTAATGCACTACTAATATTTAATGAACAAGCGTTACGAAGACTCGCAGATACGGTTTGACACGTGGTCGTGGTTCTTATACAGTTATACGTAAAATTATACAGGGCGTATAAATATACGACAATGTGCTTATAATATTATTCTAGGTTGCAGTGGCATATACGTGTGATTTTATTTAGAGTAGGAGAATTTCTATAAAAAATTGATTGCTTAAACAACTCCGTGGTAGATAAATTTTTTAATTATAAAAAAAAAAAATATAGACACATTGAAATTTAATGATATGATGTGGATGTTTAATAGTAACATCACGAGGTGTGTGCAGGGAATAGAGCCATATAGGATCTCGCACTCATTAGGACCGCTAAAAATATTGCGTTTATTTACTTATATTATAATTTATAACATCATATAAGAAACATTTGTATCTCTTTTGATATGTATAAAAATGGTGTACTCTTAAATTGAAAGAATAATATTTAACAAATTATGAAATAAGACAAGAGTTTAGTTAAAACTATTAAGTTTTTCAGTGACCTTGCAAATCATAATGCTGGTTGTAAGCTTCTGTGAAGTTATATCTCTGATTCTGTCATTGTAAACTATGATCTGAACATCACTTTTGCAAAATAAGTCTTTTAATATTCGTCTTAACGATTTCCGTATAACTATGTATATTTAATAATTATGTACCTTCTCAAAATCCGAATATATTTTGTACTATAATTGAGCATAAGTCAACACATAATTCTCATATTATAAATCAGATCTTAATGTGCTATATGTCGATAATACATTTTACAGGCGATTCACTAAGTAAGTTCCCTCTATTTTATTTCTATAATAATGTAGTCAATAGAAATTTGATTTTTTGAACTTTTAAAATGTTTTAAAATGTTTAAAACCATATTCTCGATTTTTGAGGAATTTTTGTACTATTTAAGAAGTGTCCTATAAAGATACAAAATTTTATGTTTAAAATGACAATCTCCCTATTTTACTATAAGTAAGGAAATTAGTGAATAATTTTTCTGACAATTTTAACGTATTAAAATAAAAATTTGAATTATTTAGTTTTTATGTACTAAGGATAAGAAGTCCATAATAATTAGAAGATATGAAGGCTATCGTAATTTGAAAGCATTAGTAATTTATAAATTCTATTAATATTTATTATTTATAAAAAAAAAACTCAAGTATAGGGAATACTAAATCCAAATTATGTTTATTTTATATTTTTGCAAAACCATTAATAACTAGAAAACTACTCTTTCGAATTTTGAAGTACATATTAAGTACTTTAAAATTTTTCATGAAATAAAAGGGTTCTCACATAAAAACAGTATTTTTATCGTCCAGGAAATTTTTTTAATAGTATAAAAGTCTCTATGGACTTAAAGTATAATTAAGAGCTCCCAAAATAAAAATTTGAATAAATTCATTGCAATGAATTTAGCATGCTAAATAAAAAATAAGGGACGATCATGCGCTAAAAATTAGCTTAGATTGCTTAGAATAATCTGTTGATACTAAAAAACACAATGTCTGTACAATTTTTATTACATATCATGTATTAACGTATTATTATTATCATTACAGGCGATCAGAGTGAATCCAGACGAGGTGAACTATATTACGAATCATGAGCACAAGATTCCATAAGTAAGTATACACAACTATACTTTATATGATATTATCTGTGGTTAAATGTATGACCTGTGGGTCTTTATAAATCGTGCGCAGAACACAATAATACGGTTTGATAAAAAAAAAAAAAAAAAATAGAAGTGCAATTATGCTTAAATAGATTGTTGTTTTTTTTTAATGATTATTATTATACTCGTCGATAATAATTAAATCATAAAATCGGCTGATAATAATTAAATTTCAACTGTACTAACAGATTTAATATAGTTCAAACTTTTGAACAATTTTAGATACTAGGCCTAACTTTTTAAGTTGTATATACATTTATTATACTTTTTAGATCAAATTTTGGTTTGGAATTTAATTGTTATGTGTATATTTTGTTTAAAATTCCAAAAAATTCAACCTACCCGCGTGTGTTTTGAAATATGTACAGTATATGTAATGATTTTAAAATAGTTAAAATATCTTGATTTTTTTTATTTTAAATTTTCTTAAAATCATATCATTTCAAATATTTAATACAAATACATGATACGGTGACCAAAATATTATAATATTATAATATTGGACACTCGATATCTATATTAAATTTATACTAAACGAGTCGCGGACTCAGCGACGGCAATAATATAATAATCATCATGCAATAAACATCTAATTGTCAATTGATTTCATTAAAAACTTTATACATATTTTTTTTCCAAATCTTAAAATTCAATAATTCTCAGTTAGTTAAGTATAAATTAAAGGTTTTTGAATGTCTTCAATCCAATTATTATTAGTCATTTGATGTAGGCGTGAATGCTTTCTCTGTATCCACTATTCATAATACATAATACTGTATGCACAGTGATATTCTATTAACAAGGCGTATACCACAAGGCATACACAAATCAATAAAATAGAATTAATATGATGGTATAGATAGGTGTATAATTATTATTAATTATACATTGTATACGTCTTGTCGAACTCTCTTCATTGTAACCTCATCATGCGCGTGTACGGGCAGTATACATTATACATTGTTCAGTAACATCGTTTAAACAAATTTAAAATAAATCAATACCACTGCAGCGTCTTGATTTTTTCTGACAAATTTCTACTGACCGAGTTCCATTGTATACGACGAGACAACAATAATAATAATGTATGACATTATACGTTTGAATTTAAAGGTACCACGGGAATCGAATCAAAAATAGAAATCCAAAACGTCTTATCATTACAATATAATATATGTATATAATATGATTTTGTCCAGAGGAGTGAATGAGCGATGATGAATACTCACAGTTTACTTGTAATTATAAATCGTTGAGTTTACGATGAATGATTTTTTTTTTTTTTTTTTAACGTATAATTGTTATTTTGTATAAGTACAAAATGAATAAAAAAAATGTTGCATATTCGTTCGTATGAAATGAATGAATTAATTGTAAACGGCTATTTTCGACGTGAGTGAATAGTCATGCCGTTTATACTGCACTGTTCTCATCTGGATTATTTCTAAACGCAACAAAAATCAGCTTATTTAAGGTGGGACGTCCATCAAGTCTTTAAATGCACTCAAGGACTTGGTTTATTGTATAATTATGAGTCGTGGGTAACAATCAGTGCGTGTTGTATTCAAAGTTAGATTTCGATTTGTGTATGTATGGCCAAATTGCGCCGAGCGTTTCGATCTATTGCGTGTACCTACCTGTTCTTGTATAGCCGTATTACTATCATATTTTCAGTGGAAATACTATTTTATTTATGAAAATATTTAAGTATAAAGTATGACAACCAATACAGCTGATAATATGAAGTACAACAACTGCATAAATTAAAGTAATGATCCGTATTGTTGCAGTGTAATTTAATATCATGCATATCAAAATTACAAGTAAATAACAAATAAAATAATAATATGTAGAATTAAAATAATAATAATAATCTAATTTCTATTATGAAATAGCAATACTTTATACTAACACAACGTGATGCGTATACTTATGTAAATATTTTCCACGCTGTATGGTATTATTTTTATAATGAAGAGTCGTACACCTTATGCGTATAATGCTAATAATATTATATTATATTAAACTTTTCCAGATTTTAATTATTGTTTTACACTTTCCCCGAACACAATTATTCTCACTTTTCCCATTTAATATAAATTCGCATCGGCTATGATTGCATTTAAGATGGCATCTATGGGTATCTTACACAGTATATTATTTAAACAGCGGATAGGTAGGTATATGGTCAAGGTAGATAGAATTTAACTGCTAAGATAATAACTCGCATTGTTTTTCTTCTATTTAAACAGAGTTGACTTGATTTCTTCTAATTGCTTAACATTTCGCGTCTAAAATAATCTGCTAATAAAATAGAAAATTAAGGATTTCGCTATCTTATATACCTGTGGAGGTAGTTTTCTTTCATTTTACGTTTTTAATTAATTAATTACTATCTGCATTATAAAACACCATTAAGTATTTATTGCTCAGCTACTTATAACCATACCATTATATGGGTTATTTTTAATTTGAAAGATTTGATTTTTATATTTTCAACCTATGCAAGTATTGATTATACAATAAAATCAAGTGTTTATATTTTGTTTTGTCTGTGTATTGAGCGTTTGTGGAAAGGACTCCTTAGCAACGTCAGGGTGTTAACATAAAGCCATATTTATGCGGTTTTATTTATTTTTAACGTAAATTTATTATTCAAATAACTTATTTTTCTTATCAGTTATCACCAATATCTTGATTTTTAGATATTATTATTTATATAAACAGTAATTTTATCAAATAACGGCAATTTACAAATTACACATTTCTTTTCCAATTTAAATCTGGTATTTTAGTGTACATTACTTGTTATAGACGCAAATATTAGAAACTGTATCGAATACACAGTATGCATTTTTAGAAAAGGTATACAATAACAATAAATGCATGTACTACGTAAAATTACCGATATTATGTACATGGTGTATTTGTGCAATATTATAGTTAATTACTACACACTTTCTTTAAAAACGAACAATAATACATTTCCATAAATTTTCAACACAATTTTGTTTGCTTTATGTCATTGAAAAATTTTTATTTGAATAAACGACTTACTTAATTCAATAATTATTGATAATTGATACTAACTGTATTGTATATTATGCCTATAATACATAATATATTATATTATACTTAATTTTTTGTCGTGTACGATTGGGTAAACTTACAAAATCAACTTCGATCATGATTTTATATATCGTAATATTATAATAATTGTAGAGTACGCGTGTGGATAATAATAATTATACAGTTACGTCCAATGTGATAATATTATTTCAGAGGTCAAACGGTAGATAGTTCATTGCGTTAAAATCATCATGTGGCAAGGACTTTTTATCTACCTTTTATGGGCATATATTTTATACCTTGACTAGAGTTTGCAGGTGCTTATTAATTAATATTAAAAATAGTGTACACAATAGTTTGCAGGTCCGTTAATTTTAGTATACGCGTTTATACGATTGAATAGCCTTCGTGAACGAGGATCTTCTGCCCAATATCAAATTAATGTATAATAGTAGACTATAGGCTATTCGTACGCGTATATTCCACATAATATTATAATAACGTCACAATACTGCCGAAATATATATTTTTATATGCGCATGATATTATCTACCTTCGCGCAGTGCAATGCCCTATTCGACTCAGTGATTTAATATAATTCCCGGCACATCATCACCGCAGCCACGTGCATACACATTACACATAATAGATATAATACGGACGTACGTGAAGTAGAACTATCGACGAGTGTATGTATATATTATTAAGTATTTTCGAAACAAAATCGAGTATAACGCGGGCAAAAAACACAGGACGTCACGACAAAGTATTATGATTTTTATCATCTCGAGAATTCTGTGCGATCGAATATGTTTTTTCAAATTATTCTAACGGATATCATCTATTTATTGAAGCGAGGATAGAAAACATAATGCAGGCAATATATAGCAGCTTGTTTCGTGTAACAACATGCGTGCATGTTATTAAACTCGATGAATGAAATCAACAACGTTTATCCGTTTTTACCTATATCGAACAAAAATTTAAAAACTGATTCACTTACATGTTATATAGATTCTTAGTGATAACCTATACCTAAGTATTTTATAACTTTATAATTAGTAAGTACCTATATATATCATAACTCTTAGACGATAATTTGAAAATTTTATGAAATAGGAACCATTTATTTTTCACGACAGAAAATATTAAAAAAAAATCGTTAAAAAGACACTTTATCATTAAATTAACGTTTCGTTTAAATCAAATTTGACATCCCGAGATGTTTTCATGACTTTATGACAATTTTCTTTTTGGAATACTATTTTTATTATTTTTTTTTTTTTTTTGTAATTATAAAATACATAGTGAAATAGAAAAAATAAACATGTGTTATTCACTTATTAATACCTTAAATTACACAGATACATTAAATATGTACACACTGCGCATAATACATAGACACTTAAACTTAAATTTTAAAAATCAAGACTATGTTGCTCTTATAATAAAAAATGTTTACAGTAAAATCAAAAACAAATATTATTTTATAGTTAATTGTATTACACTAACTAAAGGTTATCAAATTGTCAAAAATTGATGATGTCAAATTTGTAATTTCATGAAAAATTTTCATATTTGTAAGGTTGGTTTTATTAATTACTAAAACAACTATGGCATGTATAATTATTCTTATTAGAGCTAATAATTTAATGCACCATCAAATCTCAAAAATAATTATAATACACGTATTTTAATAAATTTTAGATATAAAATTATCAAGTTTTATTAAAGAGAAAAAACCAGAATATTTTGTTGATATATTTAGGTATATTTAGTTAACAAAAAATAAAATGAAAATTACTTATTTTATGTATAAATTAGGGCTCACAAACTATTAAAAAACACGATTATATACATTATGTGAAAAATAAAAATAAAAAATGTATAAGACGTAATATACGTGTAATAAAAGTAATATTATACTGTTAAAAATACCATAAAACAGAATTAAAGTAAATGAAATAAAAAGGCCAAAAATTACCTAAAAAAACTAAAATGTCAATACATGCTAATAATTTTAAATTAAAATTTCGAAATTGAATTCATCGTTTTGTAATTCAAACATCGTGTTGAGAAAACTATGTCTTACAATAAGTCAATATTGTATTTTTCTATTTTAAATCCTCAGCCCTAATAACTATGTTCTGTGACGTAGAATACGTTCCGTTAAAACTTCAGTGACGTGATATTTTTTCAATCGGCGTGTAGGTATTGTACTATACATAGACATTATAATACGATTTAGTGAAACTGCAGTTTGACGTGTTAAAAATATCTCATTGATACATATTTGATGTATACTCACACAACAATATATTTGAATGTACGGGACAAAAATCCAAATAAACGTCTGCAGTATAAAATATCTGCGTGTATAAAACTCTTCGATTTAACACGAACCTAAATCAACAATAGACATTCCGGTGCAAGATGTGCCAAAGTCGTATTACAAAACAACTGCTTTCTAATAGCTACGAGATTAGGGGCACGCTGCGCCATAGCCGCCGACGCCTTACTTGAAGCCACCGATTGTCTTTCCTTTCACCGGGTCAAAAATTAGCGGTCCAACGTATATAATATTACCTTATATTATCGATAAATGTACTCGTATTGTTGCGCAATTTAAATATAAACTATCGTTTACATATTATTTGATACTATTAAACCGTTAAATTTAACGTTTATAAATTAAAATGCATGATAAAATATATGGTGTTATTATTGTTTAACATTACTTAAGTGATTTCTGTTGTTTTTTTTTTTTTTAGAGCGGCTCAAGACGGTTTCATAAGCCTGCTGAAAGAGGCGACTAAAAGAGATTGTAATGCCAAAGACGATGACGGGATGACGCCGACGCTTTGGGCAGCTTACAAAGGACACCTCGAAGCGCTGAGAATACTCGTCGGCAGAGGGTATGGTGACATAATACGATTATGTTGTTATTTTTGTCAAACGCGTTTATTATAGTATCGACAGTTTGTCAAGGAAATCAATCGATTGTATAACGATCGGTGGGAAAGCGTGACATTCGGGTCCCAAGACTAATTGGTCTTATATGATGGTATATAAGGTGATTCTTTTGTCATGAATCACTCGTTATACTAAAAACTATTAACGTTTTTGAAAATAGTTCTTTTATATAATTTACAGTTGAAATAAAACAACATTAAAAAAAAAAAAAAAAAAAAAAAACACTACATTTTTTACTATATTATATATTGTTATAATTGTTTAGGGTTTTTACTTTTTGAACGATAGCATACATATGTATAATTTCATATTCTGGAGCAAAACATTTTTTGAAATACTTTAATAATTAAAAATCGAATTTTTGACGAGTAGTTTTTAAATTATAATTTTTGAGTATTAAAGTTATGGTGAGTGAAATGAAGTAATACGGGAATATCCCGCAAAATGTTGATATACTTCTTCGCTTACCTAAACATTAATAGTTTTTGAAATGATTCATAAAAGATAACAAAAGTTCATGATAAAAGAATTACTTTGTATATTGGTGCCATAGGTTCGGCTTCAATGAGATAAAAAATAATAGTGACATCATAATATGATAAAAAAAATAAATGATAAAAAATAAAAAATACTATTTATCAGTAAAACTAACATTTAACGAGTTTAATTTTGGATATTTATAAGTGACTTCCTGTGTTGTAACTATTACAATTATTACGTATAATTTTTTTTTCATAAAATCTTATAAGAATCGAATAAGCGTGTAGTTTTAATTAATTCTATAAACGAAGTTTTTAAAAAAAAAATAATCAATTTACATAAAAAAAGACAAAGAAACATTATAAACGATATTAATCCAACTATATTATCTCTGGGCTCTGGTATTCAATTATATTTTGATTAAATCCAATATTTACTTAAATAATATTAGCTTAAGTTTATCATAATAGATTTCACCCTAAACTCTAATTAACAATTATATTATAGGAACCATTAATTGTAAATAAGATTTTTAATATCTTAACATGTTATATCTTAATTTATCTGACAAAATTAAACTTTTTTATTATTAATAAAAACGTGTCACTATTTTTACTAAATAACATCAACATTTTAGGGGTGATCCAGAGAAATGCAATTACCATCTTGGACAAAATGCATTACATCTGGCCGCGTCTAGAGGCCATTTGAGTTGTGTGACCTTTCTAGTCGGTTTTGATGTCAACTTGTGGGCTTTAGACTTGGACTTTCTCACAGCAATGCAGTTAGCAGCCATACACGGTAAATCGCAGGTACTCCAATACCTGGATAAAGCGGCCGCATCTCAAATAATGCAGAACAAGTAAAACGACTTTACAGTTTACACTTATAAAATGGTACAAATGACTCTAGTTATTGATTTTACAACACTATCGTGGTATTTTTTTAGGAAAAAAGTTGAATCTAAGAAAGAAAAAGCTCAGAAAGACGCAGAACGTAACCAAAAAAAGTATGAAGATCGGACGAAAAAAGAAAGAGAAAAAGAGAAAAAGCAAATAAGAAGGGTGGAAAAAGAATACTTAGGTGGTAACAAAGCAGATTCGGAAACTGCTATACCTACGGTCAGATCAATTCCTTTATCGTAAGCATTCTACAACTTAAATATATAACATTTAAAACAATTCAATTATACATCGATTTATAATCCAAACGTTTTAAATAAAGAATTAATCAATGTGTATAAGTAACGAAACACCTTTATAACTAATCAATGTGTATAAGTAACAACACACCTTTATAACAATAAAAAAAAAAAAAAAAAAAACGAGAGAAGATTTTTTTTTTTTGAAAAAACAGTTTTGAAACGGTATCTCTCACCGTAAAATCGTAACATTTTAACGAGATTACTTTTATTTTGATAGTTTGCGTAAGTCGTCATCGGACCTTTCCTGTAAGTCGTTTACAGAGATCGTCGGATCCGGTACCGTGAAAAAACCGTTTGTTAGCTCGGGCGGTGTGAAAAAGATATTGGACAGAAAACTGAAGGCGGTAGCGGCATCGGTGGATGCACACAACAAAACCAACAAATCAACGTTCAGATTGATAAAAGAGGTGAGTATAATATTATGAGTATGCTATATTCTTGTTAATTAAAATTCTAAAAAGATACGTTTACTGGATGAGATCAGAGTATTGGATTTAACGGGTGTGCTAGACGCCGAGGCCTCGAGGTAAAGGTTGTTTTAGAGGACTCGGTTCGATGGCTTGGATTTTATAATTTTGTAAGGAAAGAAATCATTAAAAATATTGAATAATGATCAAGAAAAAATAATTTTAGCAAGTTATCCACACTCTTTTATTCTAGATTGTATAATAAATTCAGTTTTATTTCAACTTGCTTGTGATTCGATTTAAAGGGAATACATTATCCATGCAATACATAACGTATAATTAAAACGTTTAATTTCTGAAATCCATCTCCACCTTTATAAAAAAATATATAACTGTGCATCGTATGTGTACATTTATAAATATAAATCATCATGTTTATAAGTGGGCTCCAAAATATTAGTATTTGCATCCCGGCCTTCTGATAGTCAAATCCTTCATTGAATGACACTCTGCAATGTTCGAATTTTAGATTAATATGTATCTTTAAGTTTAATCGTAGTTCTGTGTCTAGCTGAATATTTCCCCAAAATGATAGAATTTTTTCGCTAATTATTTAACAATTACAAAATCATAACATTGTGATTTCAGACAGTAGGCTAAATAATATACATACAAACATAAGTACTATTGTTATTAATTAATAATTTAACGATATTGTTATCGTTATTAAAATACGTAAATCAAAACATGAAAATATATTTTATAGTTCGACAATAGATAATATTTTACCGAAAATTCCGTCGTCGTCGTTGCGCAAACATAATATTATTTTATTATTATTTACATTGTTATTGTTACGTAAATGATCTACAGGTCGAGGATAGCACGAGCGTACGAACCATAACGTCCAATGGAGATTCGCAAATTATCTATGTCAATTCATACGAGAACGAGAACGGAGGTAAATACAATAAAATAATATCAACATGATAACATTATGATAATAATATGTAATGCGTATACCACATAATTCATACATAGTAAAAACTCATCACAAAACGATTATGTAAATACACGATCGCGATCGTAGCTACGCAGTGGATTCTAAATTGGAAGTCAACACATTATGTGACTAAATCGTATTGAATGTTGTGTCACTTGTATTTATCGCGTTTACCAGGGGAATGATAATCTTGCGTTTTGCAGTAATGCGTAAAAATTGGGTATATAACAAATTAAAAATATATGTGATTTTTTTTATTTAGTTCAATTTTTATTTCAATAAGTATTATATAGGTATAATTTATAAATTTTAACATTATATATTATTGTTATTAAACAATATCGGTCTCAGTTATACTTTCAAAACAATTTCTTATGGTATTATATTTATAATATATAATATTATTGAATGAAAAAGGAAAACAAAAAACTTTAATTTAATTTAAAATAAAGCATGAATATTTTTTTGTATATTTTCAATATTTTATTTTTTATTTTTTAAATAACTATAATTCCATATTTTCACAGAATTATTACACATTACCTACATATTTTGATTATGGAATAAAAAAAAAATATATACTTTTTTTATTTAATTATACTTTTCTTAGTGCAAACAAAAAAATATATTTCACCAAAAGAAATAATAAATACGAAAGCAATGATTAGCAGAACAAGAATTTACTGTTTACTCCGAAATAGTCAATGTCTTTTAAAAATAAATACAAGTTTTTCTTACAATTAATATTTTCCACCGTTGTTTTTTAAATATTCTTTGTGGGAGTCGGGGAAATATTATGTAAAACTTGACGGTTAAAAGTAACTGCTATATTATGGTGTATTATGAAAAGAGTTCTATTGAGAAGAAAAATTTTCGATCGAACACATTGATCAATATTGTACAATAGGTCGTTATTTTGACATCCCATTACAACTGAAAATATTTTTGATTCTTCGGTCTATTACAAAACGACAATAGAAAACGATAAATGAGCGTATCTAAGTGATGAGCCTGTACAGAAAAATTTCCAATAGTCTTCAACTATAGACCAAATAGATTTTAGGTCAAGACAGTGTATTATTGTTATTATTATTATAATTTATATTGTTTGATTTACTGTGTCAACATTCTAAAACATACACATTGCCAGTTGTAACGAAACTTCAATTTCTCTCTCTCTGTCCACAGTCTAAAATAAAAACTACAAAATAATTACCGCATCTCGTAAATTGTTTAATGTTTAACATTAATAATACTTGACGTTTTTCAGGGAAAAGAGGCAGGATTTCGGATGTCTTCGAGTTACATCGCACCAATTCGCAACCGAACTTTATCATGGATCTACAACAGAACGACGACGCCAATAAAGTACACTGGCACGACCAAGGTAGCATGTTTGATCGACCGGGTTTTGGAAGCGTCGCATTCAGACAAAAGTAATTTACTCGGACATATTACACATACCTACACAAAAATATTATGATATAATATTAGGCACAATATGTAATAGGCAACTCGTATCGATATCATTCTATGACACTGCGTAACCGACAAAATATAATAACCGTGTAATTTTTGTGTGGCGCGTTCAATAGAAGAAGGAAGAAGAAAGAAATAGTATACCGTTTTAAAGAATAATTTTAATCAAACGACGCATGTACCCATGTCACTGCAGTAGATCTTTTTATAGCTAAATATCATTATTATTATTATTTTTTTTTGAGGAAAAAAATATGCAAAACACAGTCTGTAAAAACTAAAAACCAACCAGGCATTATATTATATTTCATAATATCTATTTCAATGGTTTAATTTGTTCATTACCATAAATTATTCCTCGACTTGAGTAGCTCAAGTAAAAAGACTCAAAATCCGTTCATTGAAGACTTTATCACGATTGCGCGATCAATTACAACTATTATTCTTATATATTATGCGTATTAATTTTCAATTGCTGACAGCAGTTATTACGTCATATAACATATATATATATATATATATATATATATATATATATTATATATTATAATATAATATAATGGTTATTAAATTTAAAAACCAGTTCTATAAAAATCAAAATCAAATTTATACTTTATGTAGGTGGCATAATCAGGGGGAGACACGAATCCGATCCCCCTCCTACCCCCTTTTGCATGAGAATGGTATTTCAATATATTCTACCTAGTGATAGAATTAATTCCTTAATAATGTAAATTGTGATGGCCGATGGGTAATAATATTTAATGAAAATATCTAATATATTATGCACAAAATAAATATAAATAAATTACCACGAAACATAGATATAGTGATCGTTAAACAGACATGACACTACGCTCATCGTGACACATATAATGATAATAATAATTGTTTATTACATGACGTGATTATTTAAATGACGTAACAAGTTCGTTGCGAGCTTTAGGCGTTTTTGGGAAAGATACGTAGTAAAAAACTGTTATAAACGCAACACTAGTCACCTTATAAATATCAAGTTACTTTTTAATAAAAAGAAATAACCATGCTGTGCAGAATACTGCGATTATTAGAACATAGCACGTTTCTGACGGACTTAAAGTGATTGTGAGAAGATATATAGTTAATAAACAAAACACTTGTATTTTAAGATATGAATAAGTTGTAATAGTTTATTAATACTTAAAATAATAAACCAAATAAGAATAGCTTACTGTTATGTAAAAGTTACTAGTACTGGGAATGAATAAGTACTCACGGCGATATGGCTGTGAAAAAGTCCACAACAAGCAATGATCCTATAAAGCAGGGGTGGGCAACTGGCGGCCCGCGAGCCTTTTTTATCTGGCCCGTGCTACATTTTCAAGTTGCATTAGGTATAAGTATACAATTTTAACCTATGTCCTATTTCATTATATACAAAATAAATGCTATTCAAAATGTATATTTTGAATGACCTTTCTTTTTTTTGTCTTCTATGTTCTGGCCCGCTATACTTTAAATTTCTAAAAATTGGCCCTATAGTAACTTTGAGTTGCCCATCCCTGTTATAAAGGGTGAATAATCAGTTTAATACTATAACCACCTTCTGATTATAGCTAAGTGCTCTACCTGTATTTATACGAGTTCTATCAATAACATATAGCGGCTTAATGGCCTATGCTTAATTATTTAAATCGGTAAAAACAACTTGTTGTTTTCACCTTTGATCTAGGCCAGAGGTTACCAATTAATATTTTTGAAGGGCCACATTAGGGATCTGAAATTTTTTCGCGGACCATCAACATTTTAAGTACATATTTTTAACATATAATGGGTATTATTTTAAAATTGGATGTAATGAGAACATATTATATTATATATGTTACTTATTCTTTATCTACGGGCCAGATAAAATTTGTTCGAGGGCCCTATGCAGCCCGCGTGTCACCATTTGGTGACCACTGATCTGAGCTTTTCATTTTTTAGGCAGTGCACGTACGCCATGTAAGTATTCTGAGATTGTAGAAATGACTAATATTACTATCGACGAAGTGGCTGTGATACTGATTATTACAGTTCAGCTGATCGATAATAATATGTGTCCACCGATGGAAAACATATGTTTAATCTTTGATATTGTTCAATGTTAGAATGAAATACCAGTTTACTAGTTTACATATACTAATTTGAATAATACACTTTTATAATAAAATAATTTAATAACTGTAGTTTAGATTTACTAAAATTTCTTATTGAACTTGAGACTTTAGTACTTTTAAGGTTAAAAATTAGAATTTGTAATTAATTTTAATAGAAATTGCACCATAATTTAAGATAAACGGTGATTCAAAAATGTAATGGTCTAGTTCCGTACCATAATATTTAATTCATTTTTTTCAGTTCTATTAGTTTCGCTAACATAACATTAAGTTCTATAAAATAAGTAAAATATTAAACCGGCAAGCAAATGAGTGTGTAAGCACAAGGATCTGTTTTCTACTAAATACTTATTCCCCTTCGGCCTTCACCCACCTACACATACATTGATATTTACAGGATCTTCGTCTATGTACATACTGTTATAGTGTGTAGCTGAATATTACTTACTAATAAGTAATAGATAACTAATACATTTTCAGCGTGACTACAATTCCAGTACCAGATGTGTCTAGAGCGACTATTGAAGACGAGGCGTGCAGTATCGGTAGCGCTGGAAGTCTGGTGAAGCGGAACCAACCGAGCAACACTATGTCCTGGGACGAATTCCAAAACAGCGACGGTAACATTAAATCCAATACATTCATCGTCGTTTATATTACCGTGAATAATAATTATAATCGTTACGCGGATAAAATACATCAAATATAATATAATGTGTGCCATGTGAAATAATAACGTTGCGCTATATACTTTGTAATTTATTTAAAAATACAAAAAAGTAAGAACTAAAAATGAATTCCGTGGACATGAAAGTATATATTCGTAATTTGTGTTAAATTATATGGATATTTATCTCTTAAACTTATCTCAATTCGATTAAAAAAAAAAAAAATTAACAATAGCTGAAAGTTTTAATCGAATTGTATTAAAAAAAAAAAAAAAAATACTTGTGAAATACAAAAAATATTTTTGTAATGCCAGCCAGACGTGTAAAAATTTAAAAAGTTCAGAAATTCCCATTAAGACGTTAAAATGTCTCAAAAACAATGTATATAACTGTACCACCAACCAAAAGTTGAATGTTAATATAAAAATATAATTAGTGTCCAAAATTTTTTTTTTTTTTAAGTTAAATGAAGAGTTATTATAGACACTATATGACTGTATGAGTAAATATTTATGTTAGAAAAACGTAATAAGTAATAGTCTGTGTCTATGTGATAATAATTCACTCGAATATGCATTAAAAAAAGAAAACAATTAGGTTTGTTATAAAAATGATGACTTGTCGATATTGTATAGTGATGGGTGCAAATCGAATGAATCTTCTATCTGGATTCCTTTTGGCCCACCGCGAAAACTCCGTTCGATATATTATTATTGTAGAAATTAATTGTTGTCTTACGTGCATTTTAGAGGAAAACATCGCGCTGAACGGGCGCAGTACAAAGTGGTCGGCTGTACACAAGTTCCTGGTGTCGGCGGGCGTCGGCGAATATGTCAATAAATTCGTTGAGCAGCGAGTGGACCTAGATGCGTTGTTCATGCTCGACGACCGAGATTTGGTCTCGCTCGGTCTGCCGTTGGGTCCTAGGAAGAAGCTGCTCGGCGCCATCGAAGAACGGGTGAGGAGACACTGTACTCACGAAAACGTTGGCGTCAGCACAAACGGGGTGGACGTGATGAGTCCTGCAAAATCACTGAACGAGTGTTAAATAATTTTATATATGAAAAAAAAAATCCATAATACTGTATCCCGGTTATTCGTTAGGTTATATAGGTACCTGTACATTGTACAATGTGCAAGGCTGTGATTTTAACGCACTAACAAAATGTTTGCGACATGCGTTAAAAAAATGATATAAATTCGTTTTTAATATAAAAAATATAATTTTTTTTTTTTAAATAACCACGCGTATTTGTCAAGAATTTGCGCTGTTATTCTCATTTATACATAAATCATAATTCAAGAACTGTAATTTTGTGGTTAATAATAATAATCCAAAAATTTACGAATATTTTCTATCTGTATTTATAATTGTTAATGACAACTGCTGTTGAAGATGATCTAAAATTAGTTTGTCTTCAAATGTAACATTTTATGTTATTATATTATTAATTTCTGAAAAAAAAAAATTGTAATACAAATACAAATATTAAAATATATGAAGTTCAATACGTTTTAAAATTACAAATTAATATTTTATATAAATAGTATATAATATATGAGTATTATGTTAATATTATGCTAGTCGTAATATGTAAAACAAATTTGATCAACTACAATTTTTTCTATGAATGAAACACGCAAGTGCATTAAAATTCACAGCCATGGACTTAAAGATAATCAATGTTTTTATTTAATTAAAAAACAAACTATGCAACTATGCATTACAACCCCTTTTCCAAACAGCGCATAAAATGTAATTTTGTCCATATTATACATTAATAGTTATTTAAGTATGTCTTTCTTTCGTCTGATAAACATAATACAGTATACATATAGAGACATTTTTATACATTGGAAACGATATTTATAGATACGGTTAAAAACTAAGTATTGAACAAAATAAGACGTAATATATTTTTTATTGAACACCCGCGATAGGTACGGTTAATATAAATATAAACTATTAACGGTATATTTTTATAATATATAATATAATCTTGTATAGGTACTAAATATTTTATATTATTTTTATGATAACTAAATATTAAATTGGTATATATTTGTGTATTATTTCTTGAACTATTGTTTTGCTCTGTTTTTGGTTTGGATTTGTACCTAATTATGTATTAACTCATCATTTGTGTTGTTTTATATTTTTTAATTATTACTGTACATCTCTACTTTTACTAGAGCTTTTAACTTATTTTAATAAGATTTATGTAATATACGTATAATCATACAATATTTTAACTGATATTAACAATAATTATTAAATAAAGCTTTGTTTGTGATTACCTATTATACTTACCAATATATTAGAATTACTAATTAGATTTATAGGTAGGTACTTGAACCGACACTGTCGCTGAGATTCGCTGAAATGTTAAGCTATATTATAAGTATTTATTATATTTAAATAGACGTAGGTAGTTAGTGGCTAATAAACCAATGTATAGATGATTTATATGGATTTAAACTTGATATACAAGTAGTGAATATTATTTTTTTTTAAATATAAATCAAAGATACTCTGGAAATTGTTTAAAATATTTTAGAAAATTTTTCCAAAGTCATGGAGTATAATCAATAGATGGTTTTTCTGTTCATGCTATCCGGCCGACAATACCAATAACAAGTCCGTCACTCCAGCGCCCCATATTGTGAATTTTTACACCAAAATTTCACAAAATTATGCAATCATTATGGAACAAAATTAAATCACAAAAATTTTTTTATAACTTACAAGGAAGTTAAGAATTCCAAACTTTAATTACAGGTGCTGACTATACGTCACTCCAGGCACCTCGATATTCTTTAAAATTATTTGATTGATTCAAAATTTCACAACATTTTGTAATCGTTTTTTAACTAATTGTAATCCAATATTCCAAATATCTGGTTTAATTTTGATAAATTAAGAATCGTTAGGTGACATAAATATTGTTTATATACAATGTGTAAAATATATTTTTCATTATTGATATCAATCTAATGATTTTGATAGTTTTTACATATAAGATTTTTTTTTTAATTTAGATAGTATTGATATTTTAATTATGTTATGTATACATCATATATTTATGGTTATATGTATGATTTTAAATTCACTAAACAAAGTTGGATTTGGTGAATTTAAATCCAACTTTATTTAGTTTTTGGGAAGTAATAATCATCGATTTTAAGATATTTAATACCTATTTATAATCATCGTGAAATAAATTATTACTTTTCTTAGCCCGAAGAAAATTATGTATCAATATGACAACTGATGATTGTTTATAATGTAGTAATGGTCATTAATACCTGTTTTCAATACTTTTAATTATTTTTCCATGAGGTGCACACATGTAAATATTTTACTATTCTTTTACTTCAAAATGTTTTCGTATCATATTTATGATATTGTATTTAAATACATAATTATGAAAATATTTAAATGCCCTTATATTAGTTATATTATAATAAATATTTTGTACCGAAAAACTCCTTAAAATAAGTCTTCCAACTCTAGTGACGTATGATCTTATGTAGATGATAAACCTCTATTACCAAATATCAAATGAAAAAGTTAATACCTAATGTAGCCAATGATTTTAATTGCAAAGCTATCTAACGCCGTACTTTTTTAATGTTATATCTACTATTAACGTATGACATTTTAGTTATTGATACATTTATTGAATACTGTATTATTCCAGAAGTAAAATATCTAAAATATCAAAAAATATTCTGTGCTAAATAAATGTTAAAAAATATGATATTTATAAGGAATTGTCAAGGTATGAAAATTAAACAACGTGACAAATCAAATTTCTCTTTCATAATGAAAATGTGCTTATATTGCCTATACAACGCCTCTAATAACGATAGAAAATTCACTCGAGCTCATCTAATCGAATTTAAAATTTAACAATATATTTATATATATATATATATATATATATATACATGTATATATAGGTATACATATAAATATTATATAAAAATTATAGAACGAAACAAAAATGTGTAACCCTAACTAAATATTTTATTTATTTGAAGTTAGTTGGTGCTATTGGAGGTTTTAATAATACAAAATAATTTTTCAAAGTCGTCGGCATATTACGATAATAATATATTTTGCGATTTGCAAATTCAATATCATTTATGAACAAGCTATATAAAAGCAATACAATACGTAAACATTATTGAAGAACACTTGAAATTACATAAATAAATCTTGTAACTAGTAAGTTATGTATTTAACATTTTTTTTTTCTTATTTGATATCATCAATGTGTCACCAGCTCTCCACTTAAGAATATAAAATTTTTTTTACCAATATTTTGCCTTCTATTTGTACGTACAGTTTAAAAACTTGTTTGCTAACAGTTTTGCGAGAATCACGAAATACCTTTCGAAGAAGGGGGGGGGAACAAAAAACCAAACTAAAATCTCACCAAAGAAGCTAAAGGTATTATCATGCGATCGGATAATTATAATATAATAATATGTTTAATGATATAAACACCTTATAACATATATTTTCATCCATGGCTAATATATACACTATCTGGAAAATACAGGTAAGCATCCATCGTAAATATATAAACTCTTAAGTATACAGACACACAGACACACACACACACACACACACATATATATATATATATTATATATATACATATAAGAATATAAAAACACTCTTTAATAATTTTATAAGCTCTTTCGAAAATACATGAGCTTTATGGCAAATTTATATATACTATTATATAACCTCTTTGAAAATATATAAATATCTGGGAAATATATAAATTCTTTGGAAAATTAATAAGTATCTAGAAAATATATAAGCTCTTTGGAAAATTTATAATTTTTTTAAAATATATAAAAACACTGGAAAATTTATAAAATCTTTAAAATATATCTAACCTCTTTGGAAAATTCATAAAATCTTTAAAAAAAATATATATTTAATCTCTTTGGAAAATTTATAAAATCTTTAAAATATATATAACCTCTTTGGAAAATTCATAAAATCTTTAAAATATATCTAACCTCTTTGGAAAATTCATAAAATCTTTAAAGTATATATAACATCTTTGGAAAATTTATAAAATCTTTAAAATATATCTAACCTCTTTG